TGTTTCAGATCGACATTCTATTGACACGGATAAAGAAAATTTACAAGGATGTCCGCCGACGAAAATAAAAAGAAAAACAACAAACTCGAATTTAAACGTTAAAAACAAATATGGGAAAATTGGAAAATCATTATCATCATCATCAATGAAAACTAACAACAAAACGGAAGAAAATATTGCGAGAAAGAAAAGCGTCATCAGGTATATTTAACGTTTTTATAATTTCCGTTTCCGGTTTTTTTTTGAAATTTTTAACAGCACCGATTTCATTCTCGTTTTTGTGTTCGCCTACACGTGAGAAAGAGAGAGAGACTGAGAGATAGACAGAGAGAGAGGGAGGGAGGAATAAAAATTGTGATTGCGCCATTTTTTTTTTTTTTTTTTCATTTTCGCAATTTTGTTAATTTAATTGATCGAGTATGAAAAAAAAAGTGAAGTGGAAAAAAATGTCGAACATTCGAAATAATTAGCCACACGCCTCACGTATCGTCTGCTATTATTATTATTAATTTTATCACGAATGTCATACGTTCAACTTCGTAATTCATGCGTTGGAGCGAACGTCGGAATAGCAAATTTCTAATTTTTTTTTTTTTTTTTAATTTTTTAAAGGTTGAAAAGCGAACGTTTGAAAAAAGAAAAAATAAATGCCGATAAGAAATCAGGTGAGAACGATGACGATGATGATGAAGATGATGATGATGACGATGACGAAGGTAAAAAAGAAAATATTGAAAAAAAACGTGACGACGATGTAATGGAAGAAAAAAAAGAAAAACCAGAAGAAGGAGAAGAAGAAAAAGAAAAAGATGAGGAGAAAAAGGATACAAATAAAATATTAAAAGAATTGGAAACGATATTATTTAATAAAAATGGCGGAAAAGGAAACGGACAAGGTACCATTATTATTATTATTATTATTATTATTATTATTATTATTATTATTATTATTATTACATATTTCTTCATCATTATCATTATCATCATCATCGTCTTCATTATTAAAAGTTAAAAAAGTTTTTTTTTTTTGTGACTCTCACAGCCATCATCTTTTCCAAAGGTGACAACCGTCGATGACCTCTTATGACCTTTTCCTCCCTTCGACATCAGATCCTCCCCTCCCCTTCTTTCCTCCGCCTCCCCTTCCCCTCCCCCTTCTTTCCTCCGCCTCCCCTTCCCCTCCCCCTTCTTTCCTCCGCCTCTCCTTTCTCCTCCCCTTCTTTCCTCCGCCTGCCCTTTCCCCTCCTCTTCTTCCCTCCGCCTCCCCTTTCCCTCCCCGTCGATCATTAATTTTTGTTCCATTAATTATTGCTTAATAATAATATTCTTCTCATCCAGAAGATTTAAAATGTCTCCGTTCACTTTTTAGTTTAAAAAAAAAAAACAAAAATCACGATTCCATTAATTTCCTTAAAGTTCTTTTACTATTATTATTATTATTATTATTATTATTATTATTAATTTTTCGTTTTTGATTCGTTTGTGTTTAATACCATTATTATTATTATTATTACGCGTGCGTTTGTTTCCATTTTTCATATCGATAATGAAAATGTAATGTTTTAAAATAAAAATAAAATGTTTTTCTTTTTTTTTTTTTTTGTCAAATTGTAATAATAATAATAATAATAATGGCGACGACGATGATGATGATGATGATGATGACGACGGTTAAAAAAACGAATTTCGTAATTTTAAAAAAAAAAAAAAAAAAAAAAAAAAAAAAAAAAAAACTTTTTCTTATTTTTTTAACACGAAAAAAATAAAATAAAATAAAATGAAATCAATCGAATTTTTCACATTGCACAATTTTTAAGATGATAATAATAATAAACACGTAACACTCTCTGTGACCTTTTGATCTCTAAATGAACATATAAATTTACAGATAAACGAGAAAGGGAAAGTGTAACAACAGGTGAAAAAATAAAAAATAAAACGTGTCAGCAGGTGAAAGATCCGAATGAAAAATTAATAGTAGTAAACGTTCAAGAGAAAAGAAAAAGAAACATCGATACGAAATTAGTACAGGAATTTATGAAAAATCAAAAATTGAAAAGGTTGGAACAAATAAAAATAGAAAAGAAATCAAAGGTCAAAGAAAAGGAAGCCATTAAGAGAAAACTCGAAGAATTGAGAATTAAAACTCTTAAGTTGGCAGCACAATCCAAAAAGAAAAAAGTTTGTTTTCTATTTTTTTTTTTTTTCGTTTGTTTAGTAATAATTTCAATACGATTATTATTTTTGTTTGTTTGTTTGTTTAGATTCCTGAAAAAACAATCAAAACAATCGAACAACAACAACAAGAGCAAGAACAAGAACAAGAAGAAGAAGAAGCGGAAGAAGATGTGACCGTGTCGTTAGGATTGAAACAAATCAAACCGAAAGTTTCCTATAACGAATCCGTTTTGAATTTGAAAAAAAAACAGCAGACGACAAAATTACAAAAACCTACGACAATCGACGACGGGGATTTAGAATCGGAAGAACCGGAAAAATTGGTGGTCGTCGATCGCGTCGAAGACAATTTAAAGGAAACGGAAATGGTCGTCGAGTCGACAATTTCGAAACCGAAACAGGAAATGACGATGCCGTCGGTTGGAAGTTTTCGAAACGAAGATTTAAATTCGGTATTGAAAAAATTAACGGAAACTTTACACATGAAAATCGAAGAAAAAGAAAAACAATTGTTGAGATCGACGAGAACGACGACGACGACGTCGTCGAACGCGTCGAAATCAACCAACGTATCCTTATCGGTGGCACCCAGTCAAGAATCTGGAAAAACCGTTAAAACGACACCGGAAAACAATCGTCAATTGATAACGGTCGATTTGGAAACGATTCACTGTTTGAAAGAAGACATAAAAAAAATATCGGATAATTTCAAAGTGCTTCACGAGATAATCGTGGAAAAAAACGCGGATGGGAAAAAAATCAAGAGAAAAAAATCAGAACCGGAAGTTCCGGGTGAAAGTTTAAAAAGTTCTTCCGCCGTCGCATCGGAAGGAAAAACTGACAAAAATTTTTCTTCTCCATTGAAATCTGGGAAAATTCCAAATTGGATGGATAAAATTTATCCCGAACCTCATCCGTACAACGTTTTCACCGCCTTCCGTCGCAAATTAAACATTTATTCTTCTAAAAGTTCTCTGACGTCCGTAGAAGGCGGTGGTGGTGGTGCGACGACGACGACAACGGAAGACAGTTCAACGACTTATTTCAAGACTACTAACTCACACAAAGAAGAAAGCGATTTCGAAGGTTTGTCGACGCCGTCGAGCCGATTAATAACGGAGAAAAAAACTCGGAGTTTCGCGGTGTCTAATAATAATAATAATAATAATAATAATAATAAAACCGACGACAAAAGTCTGAAAAAAAGTTATTTCACGACGAAAGAAGATTCCGGAAGTGAATTATCATCATCGATATTAGATTCCGATAAAATGAGTTCGATCAATTCGAAAATGAAAGACAAAACTCCTCCTTCTCCTCCTCATCCTCTTCCGTCTCTTAAAAATTCTTCTTCGGTCGTCAAAAGCAACGAACTTTCATTGACTTCGTCCGTATTAACGGAAATGACGCCGAAAAGTTTAGAATTTGAAATTTCCAGGGATTCGGTCGCGACAAAAGTCTCGTCGATAAAATTTTCAAAAGGGAGAGAAAATTTAGTTTTGATCACACCGGATGTCAAATTAGTTTCTAACGAATTATCGTCGAAAAAATTAAGGATAAATGATAAAAATTTTAATTTTTACAACGATGCGACGGCGACGGCAGCCGCGGCACAACAATTAAAAAGTTCTAGAAATTCATGGAATTCATCGTACGATAAAGAAGAACTCAATAATTCGGATGTGAAATCGTACAGAGAACAAAAAACGGATTCGACGATAACGGAAATGATTCACAATTTAAGCGAAAATGATAAACCGACGAATATCACCGTCAAAGCGACAAATGAAAAATTTCAAAACGTCGTACAAAAACTCGATGACGTTCATCTCAGAAGACCATTTTTCCAACCGGAAATGTTACACCTTCAATTTCAAGCCGAACTCACGCTTTTGGAAACGTTTCAACAGTCTTTGACGCATTTTCTCGAAGCCGAAAGATTGAAAACATTGTCGGAGGTAACGAAAATTGTGAACGAAAATAAAAACGCGAACGTCGTCGCGGAAAGGGTGACGCTCGTCGAAGATCAAGCCGTTCAAACGACGTTTTTAGATGAAAATCCAACCGAACAAATCGTGACGAACGTCGAAGTCGAAACGGAATACGTTAAAACGGAAATTGATGCGTCGGACGATGAAGAATCTACGATCTATACGACGGAAAATTTCGAAAAAGACGAAGAGGAAATTAAAACGATGGAAATAATCTCTCACGAGAAAATTTCGAAAGAGTCGTCGAAAGAAACAAACGAAATAAGAGAAAGTAGTGGTAATAATAATAATAATATTAACAGCAACAAAAATAACAACAGCAACAGCAGCGGCAGAGAAAGCGAACAAAAAGTTTTGGACGTTTTAGATTTCAGTAACGAACCGAATTGCATTTCTTTTCAAATGTTAAATAGAATGATGAAAGACGAAGAACTTAGATCCGAACATCAGTTGGCACTCATACGATTGAGAGAAAAAACTCTGAATGAAAAAGTCAAAGCGGAATTGACGTTTTTAGAAATGAAAAAAAGAGCATTGAAAAAGGGAAACGGAAACGACGAGGAGCAAAACATATCGGCAATAAAAAAAAAACAAAGAGGAATACTGATGAAATTTCAAAGCGAAAAAGAAGAAATAGAAAGATTGAAAAAAATGCATAAAATCGCATCGGAAGAAAGGAAAATTATGATCAAACAGCAAAAACAAATACAGAAAATGCAAATATCGACAAAGGACATGCTCACGAAGTTGAAAAGAAAAGACAAAATCCCGTTGAAGAAGAACAACAACAAGAAACCAAAAGGTAATAAAAAGAAAATTTGAGTGTAGTAGTCTTATCTCCTTCCGGTTTCAATTTAATTTAATTTTTTTTTTATTTTTTTTTTTTATTTTGACAGCATTGAAATCGTACGAGAGTCAATCGTCTGACATACCGGAAGATCTCGATGTTCAAATGTCAGATTCAATACTCACGGAATCCGTTTGTTCCGTCGGAGAAGAATCCGTGAGACGATCCAACGACAGCGACATTGAAATTTCATCGGATAAAAACACGTCGGAAGAAGAGGAAGAAAGTGAAATATTGAGAAGAAACAAAAAAACGCTGGAAAATAAAATGTCGGCTGCTGCTTTAAACAGTCCGACGAAAGTTAAAAAACATTCCGTCGATGGTGACAAATACGTTCGTGGTAAACGTTCTTCTATCGATGAACTTTTAAAATGGACGAAACGTTTGGAAGAAAAAGAAAATCGTTTGAAAGAACTCGAAAGGGAAACTACGATTAAATCGGGGGACATGAACGCGAGAAATCGTTTGATAAAACCGACGATTAAAAATCGTTCCGATAAATCCGTGAGAGATCGAAGCACTTCACCATTTCCCGATAATTTCAATCCATCGATCGATAATTCGAATTCGATAAAAGAACAGATACTCGATAATAAAAAATCATCGGTTACGTCATCGGAAAACGTCGCCGTCGGCCCGGCGGAATCGAGTTGTAAAACGGAAATATCGGAAAAAATAGAAAGCGTCGAAACATCGTCGAAAACGACGAAGAAGAAAAACATGAGCGAAGACATTCCGGAAATTTTTTCCAAAGCTAACGTCACGACGTCGTCGACGTGTCGAACTGGAGCGTTCGAATACAACAGCGAAAGTTTTGAATCTCCCTCGTCTTCGGAAACTCCGAAACCCGTTAAAACGTCGATGACGACGGCGACGACGATGATGGCAAGATCAAAATCGTTGGAAGGTGATAATAATTATAAGAGCGTACCGATCAAGTTGTCTTTGTCGCCGAGAACGCCCAGAAGACGATATTCAAGCGGTTCGGACGATTCCGTTAATTTATCTCATACAGGTACGATGACGGTGACGATGACGTCAGCGGAGTTATAAATAAAAATTCGATGGAACAAATACATTTTTTTTTTCTTTTTCAGAAACGGCTTCGGAACAAAGCGATTTGGAAAGTAGAATCGCTGCATTGCACGAAGAATTGAAAAAAAGAAAATTGGAAGCGGAAAGATTGCGCAGGGAACAGAAAAAAGCACAAAGGGAAAGGTTAAAGGTCAAAGAACAATCTCTTCTAATGCAAATTCAAGCCTACGACGCGTACATTCAAAAGAAAAAGAAAGAATTAGAGCAGGAGTACGAGGGTCCGTGTAAGACCGTGAGCAAACCTTTGATAAAACAACCGAAATTTTCCGACAAAACGAATCTCAAAAGACCGGACAGTTTGTTGTTGGGAGAAAATGATAAAATGAAATTTTACCCGCGACTGTGCGGAAAGGGAAAAGAAAAAGATGAGAAAATAATAACATTCGGTAAAGTGACCGAATCCGACAGCGAAATAATTGAACAAATAAAAGAATCCTCGTCGGAGAGCATAAAAGAAGACGTCGCGAAAACTTTGACGGAAAGCGTTCGAGAATGTTCCGAAGTTGCCGACGGTGAAAGCAAATCGGAAAGTAGCATACGTGAAATAATTTCTCCAAACGAATTGAAATATTCCGAGAGTTTTATTGAAGAAGGTGGAAGTTCGTTGAACGAAATATCGGAAACTGGAATATCCGGAAGTAGTTCACCCGAATTGCCGCCTCCTCCCGACGACGTCGACGTCGATGAGGAAAGTCAAACCGAGAGCGAAGATCAATCGACTAGCATAAAGACAACATTACAAAGTCCCGAAAAACCTACGACGGAAACGATGACGGAATCAAAAGAAAAAACGGATACGATTCAAATCGATATCAAAACGGAAGAAGATGAAAAAGAAGAAGAAGAAAACGAAGTAAAAGAGGAAGAGGAAGGAGAAATAGAAATGGAAGAAGAAGAAGAAGAAAAAACTAAGACGATGGATATTATAAACGATAACACGTATCAATCCGACACGTTCGAAAGCGATTTCGATGAAAAAAGTTCTGCCAAAGTCACGAGCGTGCAAAAAGAAACCGAACCGAGCGAAGTAGAAACTTTTATCACCGACGAGAAAACTCAGTCCTCGCCGCAATCAAAAGAAGATGGCGACGATGACGTAGACAAAGAATCATCAAAGACGTCATCACGTGAAATAATTGAAGAGGAAGAAAAGAAAACGGAAAGTGAAAATATCGAACGTCTCGATTTAACGGACAGCGTTTGTAATTTAGAGGACAAACCACCGTTGGAAAGTCAGCGAACGATCGAATCCCTCGGTGACATCAAAACGGACATTTCGGAGGATCTTTCGGAGGGAAGAAAGAAAAAAGACGTGAACGAAATCATTTCCGAATCGATCATCGGAGATTTATTGAACGAATCCGTGTCTTTGTTTTCGAACAAAAAACAAAAAGCAGAAGACGAAAAAGAAAAAAGCGAAAAGTTAAAATTACAAACAATAATTAACGGTTACGCACGAGATTTCGTCAATGACGCAATCGATCACGTGTTTAATATATACGATGGTAAAAAATGTGACGTCATTAACGATGAAGACGAACCCATATCTCCTGAAAAAATAAATTTCGAAATAAGGAAAAAAATATGCGACGCAATAAGGGCCGGAAGAGAAGGAGGAGATGAAAATGCGACAAACGCTCCGACATTGACGACGACGTCTCCAGTTAAAAACGGTAAACCGGAAATACAAGAAAGAAAAAAGTTTTTGGAGAACAACCGTGAAACCATTTTTTTTTTTAACTCAAAATTTTCCATTACAGATGAAGAAATTGTCGACGTTGACGTCATCAAAGACCGTCCAACATCCGATAAAGATTCGATGGAAAAAGAAAACAAGTCGAACGAAAAGGTGAGTCAAATCGTTTAATTTTGTAAGTTGGCAAACATGATTTATGCTGCCTCTATATTTGACTTTATCGAATTGTCAACACTGCCGAAAAAAGAGAGAAAGCATTGTTTCCGATTTGTTGGTAATAAAGGGCCGGGGCCAAAATTCACGAATGCGAAAAAAAAAAATGGATGACGTCATAACTTTTACGCGTCCCGTTCCGGTGAACGTTAATTGATTAATCGATTTTTCACGGGTCGAACGTGGAAAAAAAGAAAAAAAAAAACCGCGCGGAATGTCCAGATCGTTGGTTAGAGCGTGTGTATGAAATCAACCTACCCTTCTCTCTCTCTCTCTCTCGCTTTCTTTCTCCCTATCATCTCTCTCTCTCTCTCTCCAACAAAACCGTTAAATTTTTCATTATTGATTCATTGGATTTCGTTTTTGAAAAGAAAAAAAAAAAAAAAAAAATTGGCACGAAATGTATGAAGAATGTTTTATTTATAAGTTTTAGTTTTCCCCCTCCCTCCCTCCCTCCTCCCCCTTCCCGCCCCGCCCGCCATATTGAATTATAATATTTTTAAACTCGAAAAAATTTGTGTGTGCGTCGACCAGGTTTTTTTTTTTTTTTCCCAATTTTAAAACGAAATCGTTCGGATCCGGCGTTCGCAAAAAGAGAACAAAATGGCGTCCGTCGGCGTCGGATAATTTAATTAAAAAAAAAAAAAAAAAGAAAATTTTTAATTAGTTTTTCACGGCCAACAAGTAAAAGAAAGAAAAAAAGAAAAATTTCGAAACGGTTAATTTCCTTTGGCACTCACGGTTGGCACACCTGATTTAAAAAAAAAAAAAAAAATCCCTCGCGAATCGTTTTTATTTAATTCTAGAGTCGAGTGTACCCCGGGAGGGCCCCACTATAGAGTGTGTCGGATTTTTTCTGTTCAGTATCGAAAATGTTTTGGTACGAACGAGTCGAACGTTTTTAAATTTTTTTTCTTATCGTGACGCCATTTAAAAAAAAAAAGTCGCGAGTTTTCCGTTTGTTCGTACGTTTGCTTGTTCGTTTGTTTGTTTGTTCGATGAATTGAAAATTTCATTTCCATTAATTTCAGTATCGAGGAGGTCTTCGAACTTTTCGCCAAAGTTATATTTAGCACGTTCGCTTTTTTGACAAATTAATTACTTTGAAATTCGTTTCGGCGCCTTCCGTTTTAGTTTTTTTAGTTTCCCTGTCATGGCGCCCCGTCGTCGTTGTTGTTATTGTTGTTGTTGTTGTTGTTGTTGTCGTTGTCGTTGTCCACGTCGTCGTCGTTGTTATTTATTGAAAATAAATAAATAAATAGTCGTTCGTTTTGTTCGTACGTTGACGTCATCATTCAGGTGTTGTTCGTTTTCTATTTCTTGTGAAATATAATACTCGTTGCGGTGGTGGCGGTGGTCGTGGTTGGGGTCGTCGCCATCGTTGTGATCGTCTGGGTGGTTGTAGTGGTGGTATTCGAACGTTGTAAGAACGTGAGTGCGAACGTACGTGCCTGTCGGACAATGTTGAAATGTTAAATTTAAAATGTTATGCCAATTAAACGTTTTTCAATTTTTAATCAAATTGCCAAATGGCGGACACAAACATTGTTATCATTCCATTGATAAGAAAAAGGTAAGTCGATACACATACACACACACACACACGCTCTTGGAAAAAATATTTTTTTTCCCGTTTGTTTGTCGTTTGTCGTTTGTTTATATTATTATTATTATTATTTTACCGATCGTATCGTTTTACTTCAATCCGACCTGTTTCCTTTGATACCCGAGTGAGTGGGTGAGTGAGTGAGTGCGTGGGTTTTGACGTCATTTCGACTCCCGTTCGTTCGATTTCCTTTTGCCGAACCTCTTTTTTTTTCCTTTTTGGTTGTTAACCCCCCCCGCTTTCTTCCCCCATTAAACGCCACGTCACGTTCGCTTTCTCTCTCTCTCTCTCTCGTTTGTAATCGGTGCCGCTGAATTTTCTTTCTGCCGGTGTAAAAAAAAAAAAAAAATTTAATTTTTGATTATCACGTCATAGAACACGTCATTGTTTTTCTTCGTTCTTTTTTTTTTTTTTTTGAGGGGGGGCGAGAGAGTGAGAAGGGAGAGGTGGGAGGAAAGGGGAGGGAGGCAAAGCGAAGGAAAATTGTAAAAATAAAATAAAAAAACATTAACAAGCCAAAATAATAATTTATTTAAATTAAAAGGTGGAGATAATAATTAACCTTTACAACAGTTTTTTTCTTTCTTTTTCTTTTTCTCTTTTTTTTTTTTTTTAATAAAATAATTAAATGGGCAATTGATTTATAAAAAAACGTTTTTACTGTTGCCAACTAAAAAAAAAAAAAAGAAAAAAGAAAGAAAGAAAAAGAAGAAAAAATTTTCCTCTCGATTGATTTGGCTTGAATTTTATTTTATTTTTTATTTTTTATTTTACTATTTATTATTATTATTATTTTTATTTTGTTTGTTTGTTTCTGTGTGTTTGTTTTGTCGTAAGAAAAGTAATCGTAATCATCATTATTAACAGAGTTTTTTTTTTTTTTTTTTTACAGATTTCATCTAAATGCGAGAAGAAAAATGATGAGAATGGGAAAGAAGAAAAAAAGGTGGAAAATTTATCGGGTCAAACGATTTGGTTTTCAGACGATTACGGTTTGAACAAAACAAGAAAAGAAGCTGAAGAATTAAGGCTCCAACAATTACAAATTGAACAAGAGGTACAAAAAAAAAAAAAACATTTTATTGTCAATCGTCGCAGTTTTCTTGTTGTTTGTTGTTGTCGTTTGTTTATCATTCATTCACTCGTATAACTTTTTCAGATTCAACAGCTTCAAGCTCAACAAGAACAAGTTCCATATTTTTACCTTCGGGAAATTCCAAATAAACCCCCGCCGCCGTACACGCCGCCATCTTCTAAAACGCTCACGGAAATACCGACGACGGAAAAGGAAATATTAAATCACGCATCGTCAGCCGTTAAAATCCTATACGAAGAAATGAAACGTGGTAAAGGAATGGGAGAAATCGAACCTTCGAGAGATTATTACGGCGGTACGGGACTGAGCGATAACGTCAAATCGTATAAATTTTTCTTATTCGATTTATCCAAGAGAATAATCGAAGAGATTTTAACGCGGGGAGAAAGAAAACGCGGGGAAAATTTACCCTGGATGAAAACGAGAGAAGATTTATCGTCGTATAAATATCGTCAAATGGAAAAAACTTTGGACTCTCTCACGGAACACGTGAAAAGAAAAATGATCGTTTTATTTAAATTCGATGGGAAGAGGAAAAAGGAAAGTCTCGTAGTGAAAAGTTTTAGAAAGAAAAGAGATCACGTGGATGAAATACTAGTTTCGGAATCGCAAGAAGAAGAATCGCAATGGACGCAATTCGACGATGATCAAGTGGCCATTAAAAACGACGTCGCTCTCGCCATACTCGACGATCTACTGGACGACTCGACGAAAATTCTTCGAACTCTTTGGGAAAAGAAAAATCAAAAGAAGTGTTGATTTTCAGAAGTGACTTTTTTTATTTCTTTTTCCGCTGGAATTCGTAACGTGGAAGGATTAATATGAGTGAACAAGGGTGCACAATATTTATTTAAGGTATTTAATGAATTTTTGATCTCTTTTCTTCACTCTCTGCACCGTCTCTCGTACTTCGTTTGCACTTTCTCGCAGGAACCGGTCAGGGGAGTACACTTTTCGTCGGGGGATGACTCAGTCGTCGCAACAGCCAAAAAGAAGAAGAGGTTACACCGTTATTGAAGACACCGAGGACACCGTGGAGGATCATCATCATCGGACGAGAGTTCTGGAAGAATTTTGGAAAATTGAACGAGCTTCTACATCTGTTGGAGATTTGAACTTTTCGAAAAGAAGTGCTCCCTTCTCCGGATGACATCCACACGTCTATGAACTGGAAGAGAACGGATTAGTCGTCGTTCGTCGGACTGGAGTATTCGGAAGAGGAGAGATAGAAGAACACGGAATACGGAAGGTTAAACTGATCGCTCACGATGACAGCCAACTCGTAGTCGAAGAAGTGGATTGGACGGGATGCGGATAGAAGCCTCTGATCCTCGTGGACTCTTCGGATTCGTCTTCTCTGCCTCCAAGCACGGTCGTCCAACGCGCCGAAGAAGTGGATTTGGATGGGATCCGGGTAGAAGCCTCTGATCCTCGTGGACTCTTCGGATTCGTCTTCTCTGCCTCCAAGCACGGTCGTCCGACGCGCCGAAGAAGTGGATTTGGATGGGATGCGGGTAGATGCCTCTGATCCTCGTGGATTCTCCAGACTTGTCTTCTCTGCCACTGTAGTCTGTCGCGTCGAATGGATGGGATGCACAAAGATGTCTCTTATCCTGGTGGGTACTCCAGACTTGTCTTCTCTGCCACGGTCGTCCGTCACGTCGGGGATGTCATCCGAGTCTTCAGCGTTTAATTCCATCCAAAGAATCTTTGTTCCCTTTTTTTTTTTCTTGATGTTCAGTCATCCCGTTTATTCTCCCTGCAGCAAAAAGTTTTTATTTAGTTATTACAATGAATTTTTTTCTTTAAAAAAGAGGGGATTCCCCTCAAAAATCAAAAAAAATTAGTTTTTTTTTTTTTAATTACCTTTTCCGTATTTCTCTTTTTTTTTCTCTTTCGTTTCCAATTCCTCTTCATCTTCTTTTTCTTTTATTTTTCTCTTCCGTTTCCAATTCCTCTTCATCTTCTTTTTCTTTTATTTTTCTCTTCCTTTATTCTTCCTTTTCCTCTTCTTATACGTTTTCCATTTTCTTTCTTCTTCGTTCTCCAGCCGCCAACCATTTTTAAACCCTTTTTTTTTTTTTTAAATAAACTCTTGACCGAACGAGTGAAATCCGAAATGTTATTATTATTATCATTATGATTATTATTTTAAGTTAAAAGAAAATAAATAAATAATTATTAAAAAGAAGAAAAAAGGAATTTTGAAAATTAATTGAAAATTAATTGAAAAAAGAAACCCTTAAAAAATCTCTCTCTCCCTCTCTTTCTCTCCCTCTCTCTCTCTCCCTCTCTTTCTCTCCCTCTCTCTCTCTCCCTCTCTTTCTCTCCCTCTCTCTCTCTCCCTCTCTCTCTCTCCCTCTCTCTCTCTCCCTCTCTTTCTCTCCCTCTCTTTCTCTCCCTCTCTCTCTCTCCCTCTCTTTCTCTCCCTCTCTCTCTCTCCCTCTCTCTCTCTCCCTCTCTTTCCCTCTCTCTTTCTCTCCCTCTCTTTCTCTCCCTCTCTTTCTCTCCCTCTCTCTCTCTCCCTCTCTCTCTCTCCCTCTCTTTCCCTCTCTCTTTCTCTCCCTCTCTTTCTCTCCCTCTCTTTCTCTCCCTCTCTTTCTCTCATTCAAAGGTTCAAAGACACACATTTAGATTAAATAAGATTAGATTAGTATTAGACTAGATTAAGATTAAAGAAAAATTAGTTTTAACCTTCTAATTAATTAATAGAAATAAATAAAAAAAAAATTTATATAAACAATTGTCAACTTTCATATAATATATATATATATATATATATATATATATATATATATATATATATATATATATATAAATAAACCTAAAATCCTTTCAATTAATAATAATAATAATATTAACAACAGTGATTAACATTTATTATTATTATTATTATTAATCATTAGTCAAGTATTAAAAATTTGATAATTTTTTTTCATCTACATATATATATATATATACCTAATATTATTTATTATATATTTTTAGTAATAATGATAATAATAATAATAATAATAATTTTTAAGTCCCTCTATATAAAAAATAAAAATTAGAAAGTTTTTCTTTTTTTTATGTACATAAAAAATTAATAGAAAATAAAATTTTATTTATTTTATTTTTTTTGACTTTTGATATGATTATTTACTGATAACGGCTCTATAATCGATATATAAATTTTTTTTTTTTATTAACGTTAGTTTTAAGTAAAGTAGATGAGGACAGTTTGAAGAAGATAGATAGATAGATAGATAGATAGAAGATAGATAGACCGATAGACCGATAGATAAAAGTAGACAGTAAAGATAAGATTTTGCAAGTTTTTTTTTTTTTTTTTTTGTTAGTTTTAAGGCAGATCTAGTTGTTAGTAAAAATAATAATGATAATAATAATAATAATAATAATAACGATACCGAAACCTAATGAAATGTCCACTTTCTATAATTAGTTTTAGTTATGCTGGTTTTATTTGATGCATGCATTTGGTCCACGTGAAGCCCATGACGGCTTCCAAGTTGGGATCATACGATTGTAGGCCTTAATTGGTCCTCTGGTGGCGTAACCTGTAACACACAGAATAAGTCAATCAATCAATCAATCAATCAATCGATCGATCGATCGAGATGAATGATTTGATTTTCTATTTTACCTCCAAATCGATGGATCCGTTTAATGCTATCTTTATCGAATGTGAAATTCCAAGATCTTCAAGTGAACTTTTTCTCCTAACGTTTATTCCCTGTCTTAAAGAATTCGATCGTCTTAACAATATGTCGTCGGAAACTCTTAAACTGTTGCTCCGGCATCGAAAAGGCGGTTGTTGCGGACTGTCCGGAAGTGATAAACTATTGGCTTTCATCGAAACCAAAGATGGCGGACGTGACGATGCGGATCCTCTTCTTTGATTCAACGGCATTTGTTGTAATAATTGTTGCGAACAAAAACTTATGTTGCTTTTTCTCCTGCTGTTGTGTCTTTCGAATGTTTTCTGCGCCGAAAACGGACTCGGACGGACGAGGTAACTGAAAAAGAAAGGGGGGGGAAGAGGGGAGAAATTAAAATTTTCCCTTTTAAAAATTAAAAAAAAATTTTTTTCATTTTATTCACATACATGATGTCTCCCTCGTGTAATTTCAAATCGCAACTCGGATTAATTATGACGTATGATATTCTAGAAGGTTTATCCATTGCTTCGTGATCGTAATCCGCCGTCGTCACGTTTAAACTTTCCATTCTCGACCTTACCAAATTGGCTATTTCCGCTCTTTCGATTTGTTGTGAATGTGCAAAATTTTCTCTCGTCTCATCTATCGAATATTCATCCGAATCCGGTGGATCTTCCGTCCTGTAAATCCCGATCGGTACTTCGCACGTCGTCGAACATAATTTTTGATATAATCTCCCGTAGGTTCTTATCCACATGTCTTCTTTTGTTATTTTCATCTGAAATTAAATAAAAATTCAAATTTCGTAAATTTCATCTCCTACCCCTTTTATTTCACATTATCATTATTATTTATTCATACGGATGTGAGAAATCCAGAACCGGGTGCTTGATCCACGCCTAAAAGTAATCGAACAAAAGTGATGACGTAATCTTTAACAAACGCCTGATATAGTAAAGTGTCGAGCATGGAAGCACTAAAAACGCTTCCTGATGCAAACGGCAAACGAAACATGTAAGATATATGAGATCCTCTTTCTTTTTCGCTCTGGAAAAAAAAAAACATAATGAAAAGATAAACAAACAAAACAAAACAAAAAAAGAAAAAAATTTTTGTTTCCATTCCGTTTCCCGTACCTTTTCCATTTTCGATAGATGAAGTGCGTATTTATCGTGAGCTCGAAAATGCATAAAACGCATGTTTGACGATTGTGAAAGTTCCGTTATGCTTGCTATGTTGGGGAAGAACCTGAAACAAAATCGAATTTATTTATAGGGATACAAGAATCAACAAACAAACAAAAAGTTTTTTAGGTTCGGTAACTTACTTAAACATAGTTTGAACGCTAAGAATTGTGTTACAGTCTGCTAGTGTATCTTCTTCCGCCGAATTACAAAGTTCTTTATTTACAACAACAACAGTTTCGGCAAGTACTATTCCAGCTCTTACCAAATCGTCGAGACTGAAACAGAAAAAAAAAAGATTAGATTCGGCGAAAGTTTTCATACAAAACAAACAAACAAGCAAACAAAAAGATTAAATTGAAATTTTACCAGTCTAATGATCCGAGCATCCAGTAAACTATTGGAAAATATGACAAGGCATCCAAAAAAGCTGGATCGGGTCTACGTTCTAATAACAAAACGATAGGATGCAGTGAAGTCTTTGCTCTAAAGTGGGCCCTAAGTGGCACAATAAAATTATATATTCCATTGGAAGCGTAATCAGCGGCCAAAATGATGGCTTTGTTTTGCCAATTGTATTCTTTTGCCGAACGAAAGGAACAATGTTCGCAAACTTGAGCCAATTGCAAACAGCAAAGAGGTTTTTTCTCACGTAAAAGGTAACACAACGTCGGACTTACTCCTATGTACGGTGACACCGGAGGAAAACCTTTTATTATTCTGTCAAATAACAAACAAATTAATTTTTTTTGGAATCCTGAGAAAGGTTAAACAAACAATGATGATAATAATAATAATACGAATGACTCACCCGATGTTTTCGCATGGCGTCGCCCACGGTAGAGTGTCTAACATGTCATCGTTTTCGCTAAAATTTTCCTCATCTTCTCTTCCTTCTTCTTCTTCGGCATCGCTGCAACTTCTCAAAGATCCTAAATTATCTGGCACTGGTAAAATGCTCGGCCTTCTACTTCCACGTCTCGCCGACATATCCGGACTTAAAAGATTTAAATCACCCGGACGAGGAACGTCTAAATGATTACCCGTTGATTTGAGTGGAGTAGTTTCGTGACATCCGCCGGATTCAATATGAACTAAAAAATGATTTTAATATGAGTAAAACCGGAAGTCATATTTTATTAATTGAAAAAGTAAAAAAGGTAAAAAAATTTTTAATTACCATCCGGATGTTTTTCAGTCTTTTGTCCCACTTTTATATCGACAGCAGCTTGATTTGATGCGTGTACAACAAACGAACTGTTTTCTTCTTTCGTTATGCTTAAATAATAACAAATATCTGATTTTTTCATCACGTGTCTCGGTCCGGGATTCAACAATATCGTATCCTCGTAAAATTCCGGTAATTCGGCTGGTCTCACGCCAACAAGCGCGACTCCGTACCTGAATAACAGAAAAAAAAAATAAAAAAATTGTGTCCCGACGGGTACTCATATCATCATCATAAGGAAAACTGACTTTCTATGAGAATGAAACGATGCGTATGTAAAACTTTTCCCTTCGTACTCTCCAAAAAATCGACTATCTTCCAGTTTTATGTGGTAAATTTCATTTCCGGAACATCTACCGTACAATCTATGCCATTCTTCTTCGGACGTTTGACCTTCTCTAAACAAATAAAAATGACAACATTAATAATATATATATGGGGATCATGTGTCGAATTTGTTAAAAAGATGCGGAACTTACTGTCCTCTGGATGTGTGCAGTAGAAGTGTGACCAAAGTCGAAGCTCCTGGACACGTGCAATTATTTGCTAGTAGAGCATATTTAAGTTCGTCTTCGCACACGACGTGTTCGGCAAATTTAACGTGAATTTTATTTTCCGGTCTAAATATTTGAACGTATTGCGGTACTTTGGGTGCGAAATCTTTTACCGCCCACGATCTGAGTATCGTGTGTTCGTCCTTGAAAAAACAAAAATCGAACATTTCGATTTCCGGTGCTGGAAAATTCAAATCCCTTTGAATACAACTACTCACTGCCGCAGTTTTATCGGCGTAATTTCGAGCGGCTAAAACAAAACACGCTTCCGCTTCATTCATTCTTGCTCTTGCTAAATCCCCATCTTTCAAACAAGATCCCTGTATGTAAATCACTCTTTGAGCCCATATGGGTACTTGAAGAATCATTCTCATCGTCGTGTCCAATTCCATTGGTGATAAAAGTACAACGTAATAATCCTACAACAAACAATAAAATTCAACAAATTAACCACACACTCTCTCTCTCTCTCTCTCTCTTTCTATTTTTTCTAAAAATGTCAAAATCGTACCTGTAGGAGAGGATGAGCGTAAAATTCGTTTAAAAAATCCATTATCGTGTCCGCGTGTAATGTTGTGCTACAAACGACGACGTGTTTTTCTGATTGTGCCCTGTGTGACGAATATGAACCCCCTAATTTTTGCCTTTCCATCCACGTGAAAGCCAATTGTTCGAACTAAATCAATGTTTTTGTGGGGGGGGGGAGGGAAAGAAAAACATTTAATATAGTTGTAATATTTTATTTAAAAAAAAAAAAAAAAAATTTCACAAAGACTTACTTGAGTGGGTAAAACGATGAGTGCGATGCATATCATGAGTACCATGTACAATTGCGAAGGCCAAATATCAGGTACGAAATCACCGTAGCCAACGGTTGAAAACGTCACGACGACGTAATACGTTGCCTGGAAAACAATACAAAAGTAATTCATTTGTATGAAATGATGATGATGATAATTTTATCAATAATGACGATGATGAATCTCACCTGGAAAAGGTTTAAATGACGATGACCTGCTCTTTGAAAATGTTGAATCCCGCAAACGCTGGTAAAAACAAGGCAAAGAAGCGTCGCTGATAATATCATCAACTGTTGCGACAAGGCCGATTGTGATTTTTGCATTGCTCGATGTAAATCGTTGAACATGTTTTGTAGTGAATTTTTTGCCAGCCAACAGTTAAGAAAAACGGGGATGAAAAGATTTCTCAACGGGGGATGAAATATCTTTAAATGCAATAAAAATTAATTAATAAATTGATAAAGAGCGACGACGACGACGACGTGGAAGAAGAAAAAATATTAAAATACTCACGGTTATCGTGAATGGTATCGTGTTTAACATTTCCAATATGAAATGCCTCGATAGTAACTGTTGCCATATGTTACCCTTAAAAAGAAAAAAAAAGGATGAAATTGGGGTTAAGTTTTTAATTGTGAAAGGTTCAATCAATCGTGTGTTGTTAAAAAATTAAAAAGAAATCCTTTTTCTTCTTTGGAGATACCTTGTATCCAAGATAAACTAATAATAAGGCCTCAGTTAAACTGATGTAAGCTAAAATAACTTGAACAGTCCAGAGTTCCAGAGGTCTGTTGACCCAAATGATGGCATCCCAATTGATTATTGGATTTTCTTGAAATTTTTCCTCTGTCAGGTTTGCCGATATGATAAATTCCGTTTTGTCTCCGACGGCGCATCCGTAGCTGGAAAATTTTTTCATTTAAATTCCTTGTACCGGGTACCAAAGATGGTAGTGGGGTGTTGGTGACTACTTACCACGTGGCGTAAGTCGGATTTAGGTCTGTGACCACTCTTAATATGTACAACAGACATGTTACTAATTTGAAAAATAAATTTGCGATTCTGATTCTCAAACCTGAAACGGGGTGAAAAAAAACGTTATTATTATTATTATTAATCAGGTACGAACCTGAATCAAAAAAAAATGATTCAAACTTACTTGATCTTTGATTTTTAATAAAATAAAGTTGCAACCTTTCTTTGAATGTGTTTTCGTTTACGTAATATTCGACTCGGACCCTAAAAAAAAAAAAAAAATTATTATTATCATTATTATATCACTCGAGTAAAATCGTTTTCAATTGACGGAAATGACGTCAGTAAACACACGCATCATCAAATTTCAAACGGGTGTTAAACGTAAGTAACAAAAAAGTTGAAAAAATTGAAAAAATTTCACGTTCGTCACATTTAATACCACGTCAATTTGTCATTTTTCTTTTTTATTCTTACGTCACTTCCGCTTTTCTTTTTCATTCCTCCTCCTCCATCCGACTAATTACAAAAATCTTTTCATAAAATTTTATTTTTATGAGTCGTTTTTTTCCCCCCCCCTAAAAAAACTTATTTCGTACGTTTCCTTTTTGCCCTCCCATTGTCGAAGAAGAAGAAGAAGAGGAAGAAGCCATTTTTTTTTTTATCTTCTCTCTTTCTCTCTCTTAGCCTTTCCTTCCGGCATTTTTTTTTTCATGTTTCATCATCATCTCTTAGTCATTTTACATCATTTTTTCCATTAAATATATTTTTTTCATTCTTTCTTTTCTTTTCTTTTCTTCTTCTTTTTCTTTTTTTAATATTCATCAAGAGAATACAAAAGGAAAAAAAAAAAAAAATCAAAATGGATTCTTTTTTATAAAATGATTTGACAGTGTAAATATTCACTCATTCACTCACTCACGGAATGACTTTCTCTTCGATGGTTTTTTTTATTTAAAAAATTTTCTTTCTTTTTTTTCGCCGTTTATTTATTAAAAAACAAAATGGCGACATCGACGTGACGTTCGTTTTACTTCTTTAACGTTACGCATGCGAATTTTTTTTTTTTTCTTCAATACCGACGACGATTTAAACGATAGCAGTAAAAGCGACAGTGCCGACTTCAGGATTATAAATATACCATTCGAAAAAACAAACGAATAAACAAAAAAACGGTCAAAGTTTTCGATTCCTAATAAAAAACATTTTCGCCGAAAATCCGCCATTTTCTCACGTTTCGTTTTCCATTTTTAATTGTTTCCTTTTTTCTTTTTCTTTTTCCTTTTTCTTTTTTATTTAATTTAAATTAAATTAAAATGGATTTAAAATTAAAATTTTGCTCTAAATTTCATTTCCAGACATTTTGAAAATTAAAAATAATAATAATAATAATAATAATAATATTTAAACGCAACCTTTTTTTTTAAAAAAAAAAAAATTTTTTTTTCTTTTTCTTCTTCTTCTTCTTTCCTTTCTCGAATAACCTTTTGACCTTTTGACTTTTGACATGATGTTATATACATATATTTTAATTTTTCAATTTTTCATGACGTTATTATAACTATTTTTAATAATAATAATAATAAAGATAAACTTTGGAAAATCCACCGATTTCATTCATTTTGTTTTTTTTTTTTTTGATGTCCAAAAGGAAAATTCGAAAAAACCGACAAATATTTTTTTCTTTTCGAATTTCGAATTTAATTAATCTAATGACACGTGTAGGAGTTACGCGTGGATTTACCGAATTTTAAATTACGAGACAAAAAACAATCGATGTTTACGGAAATAAAGAAAAAAAAATTGTGACTAACGATAAGAAAAATATTAATGGCGGATGATTTTAAAGTCACGATCCGTTGCGAATCCGGGATAAAAGGGAAAACGGAAATAGTATTCGCAGCAACATTTACATCCGGTCATGATGATGATGATGAGAGATTCATTTGCAAAATTATCAACTTTGAAACGGCAGAGAGAAATAAAAAAGTATATTCTGTTGGAAACATTTTCCAAAAAGTTCAAATAACGTAAACGTTTCGTTCTACAAAGATTAAAACTATTTCCGGTCAATTTGAAAACTCAAAGGAAAACTCAAACATAAATAAAATTTTCAGAACATTCTAGAGAGAGAGGAAAAAATTTCATCACGATATGACTTTAAGTTAAACATTAAATTATTTCAAATGAAAATTTGAAACATACCATACCATACTACCAACAACTTCAAATGTTATCATCACTCACACGGAAAAACATACAAATAATAATAATAATAATGATAATGATAAAAGTTTAAAAGTTTCGGTTGGATTTAAACATCGTTGGCGGTGGCGTCGACGGCCCACACACAACATATTCAAACATCAAACTTTCTAGAAAACACGTTAAAACAAATTTTCACGGTGAAATTTTTTTTACAAACAAAAAAAAAAAAAAATACCTGAACTTGATTAAATTTAAATTAAACTAAAATTCTAAAGACTTTTGTTGTTCAATTTCCAGTAAATTTCCAGTACGCTATTTTTTTTTTTTTTATTCTCCAGGAATTTTTTTTTATTCTATTAAAACTTATTTCGTTTAACCTAAAACCTTTTATTATTCGTTTCGTTTCGAATGAAAATACACTCGCGGAAGATACGGTTTGCGACAAAGCCTCCGGGATACGTTAAAATCGAAGTTAAAAAAAAAAAAATTTTCTTTTTTTTTTTTATAATCCCAGAGGTTTTTTTAAAAATAGCAGAAGAAATAATTTTTTCAAAAAAAAAAAAACTTACCTCGGAATTCTGTCGTAACTGTCCCAACTCGTCAAACAATTATACGAACTATAATGATTTGACATTGTTAAAAATTATTTTACGTCACATCCGGTTCGATAATAATAATAATATTAATAATAATAATGATAATTTTCACTTTTTTCCCCCACTTTTTTTATTTTATTTTATTTTAAATTTTTTATAAATTACATTAAATGAAATAAATGAAACGTCACGAATGAAATTTTTTTTTGTCGTTTGTATTTGTCGTTTTCCGTACCCGAAAAGTTTTTTTATACATTTTTAACGAATTGTTTGTTTGTTTGTTTGTTGTTGTTATTGTTGTTGCTAATGTTTTGTTGTAATATTGTAATTAAAAATTTTTTAATTTAACATATTTATTTATATTTTTTTATTTTAAATTAAAATTTTATTTTTTTTATAATCAATCGATGCCGAATTTTCGCTAAAAATTAAAAAAAAAAAATTTTCCCTCTTAAAAATCAGTACTGCCAACCCAATAAATCCCGTTTTTTAAAAATTTAATTTTTTTATTAAAAAATTTGTATTAAAAAAAAAAAAAAGGCAGTTTTTTTTTTTTCAATATCCGCGGTATTTTAAAAAAAATGGTTTTTTATTATTATTATTATGGTTTTTATTTTCTTCTTTGTCTTTTTTATTTTTACTCTTTTTCTTTTTCATCTTTTTCTTCTTCTTGATCTTTTTTATTCTTTTTCTAAATAAATTATTTTAAGATAAAAAATTTTAGTTCTCAACCGTTTGTATAATTTTATTTTATTTTTATTTTTCTTTTTATTTTTATTAAATTTCCTTTTACGTTTTTTTAAAATTATTTTAAAAGCAGCAGAAGAAATTTTAAAAAAATAATATAAAATTTTCAAATAATTAAATTGATAAAAAAAATGATGATAATAATAATAATAATAATAAAAACATTCAATATTAAATATTTAAAATGATTTTTATGACGTCATCATCATCGACATGTCTTCTGCTTCGTGTCTTTTTTTTTCCTCTCTACTCATTCGATATTTTCCTTTTTTTCTCTTATTCTTTCTCTCCCCTTCTCTCTTTCTTTCTTTCTCTATCTTTCTTTATTTCTCTATCTTTCAATCTCTCTCTCTTTCAATGTCTGCCTCTCTCTTCCTTTCTCTCTCTCTCTCTCTCTTCCATTCTCCTTCTCTCTCTTTTTCTCTCGCTTTTCTTTAACACTTTTCTCACTTTCTTTCTCTCTCCCTCTCTAACTCCCACGCGTTTTCTTCCTTTCTCTCTCTCTCTCTCTCATTTCCTTTTTTTTTTATTTTCTTGGTCTTCCTTTCTGTCGTCGTCGTCGTCAGTTTTTTTTTTTTTTTTTTAATTGATTTAATTTTCTCATCAAATTACTTTTTATCACCGCCGGCAATGTGTTATCACGAAAATGTCATTTTCTTTTCTCCACTATCACTTACACCAGACTTCACGGTGCCGAAGCAATCCGACAACTTCGAATTTTCAAACATCAAACATCGACACTTGTTGATTCGAATTGAACGAAACGAAACAAAACAAAAAAAATTTAATTTCAAGATTATATCAGGCTAAGCTAGGAAAATAATCACGAAAAATCAACAACGTAGACAACAACAACAACCGGAAGTACTTAACACGCAGCTTGAATTATATTAAATTATTTTAGAGTAATTTAAAAAGAGAATATCAAAAAATAAAAATAAATAGACGACGATGTTATTTTTATTTTTCGATGTTGGCGCCTTGTAATAAAAACCCTTCGTTGGTTTATTTCATCTTTTATTAAAATCAACCCACGGGAAAAAAAAAACAATCGATTTTTATAAAAGGAAAAAAATTAACGAATTTTGTTTTTCGAAAAACTACGTCATTGTTATCATTTCCGGTTGGAAAAAAAATTTTCAGCCAAGTCATCAAAACTTCCGTCGTAATATATAGGAAAAAAAAAAAATTCAAAATTTTTGTTTCCGTACTAATGCAAAGTATCGACAAAAGAAAATTTTTTTTTTGTTTTTCGTCACGTGTTCATTATTCCACCTGGAGTAAAAAAAAAAAAAAGAAAATTTTATCCACGCCCACGCACGTTCGTTTCCAAAAAAAAAAAAAAAATTCATTAACAATTTATCGTTTAATTTTCTTTTCCCCTCACGAAAATTGTCGCGCACTCACCTTTCCCCCCATTATTATTATCATCTACTTCCGTTTCCTTTATTTAATTCTCTCTCTCTCTTTCTCTTTATGAAATTTACCAATAATAAAATTCATTTTTTTTTTTTTTTTTACAAAACGGGTTTTCCCAAACCGGAAACAATTGTTTTCCAATTTCGAGAATTGCATAATAAAATTTAAAATTTTCTTTCTCCGAAAGTGAGTCAATGTGAATTATCCAGACGGATTCATCGAATTGATTTTACTTCCGTTATTTTTTATTCAGAATCCAATCAATTTTAAAATTAGAAATTATCGATTTAATTAAATTAATATTTGACTCACGTGGAAAATTTCATAGAATTATTTTTTACATTTCCATAAATTTCGTTTCCATTTTTTTCTATTTTTCTAGTTTTTTTTTTTTTTTTCGCCGGAAATGATTGTTTGTATTCCATCTGGAATTTTTTTCTTTTCTTTTTTTCCTTTTTAATAACGTACGAGTCTTATATGTCGTCACGTGAAAATATTTTCAAAGTTAATCAATGCGACCGAAGAAGTTTTTCACGTTTTTTGCAAACAATTAAAAAAAAAAAATCCCTCAACACGTGTGCGTGTGAGAGTGCGTACGTGGGTGCGTGTGTGCAAATACCCACGCGTGAAAAAAATTCTCGAACCGTTTTTTTTTAACTCCGTAATTTTATTTTATTTTTTCA